CTTTATACTTTATCTGTTATTTTTGGTAATGAATATCTGTACGGTTGCAGTAGATTTGACCGATCTTATAACCATCAAAAAAAATTAGAAAATAAATATAAATCATGCCTCTTTCATTCTAGAATGAACACAAATTATAACACAAAAACATAAATGTTTAGACTAAATAGCTTAACTCTTAATACATCATAAATTTATATATATTTATTATTATATTGATATTGACCTTTCAGCCAATCCTGGCTAACAGTAAAGAAGTTACAAAGATGTGGCACACGTGCACTCATGTTACCGTATCCAATGACATAAAACTGACCTTTGGTCTGTACAAAGTAACTGCTATTGGTTGTGTTTTAGTAGACTAGTATTTTGTAAAATACAGTCACATTTCAATTATTATACATTATATATGTATATAGATCATTGTTCTTAAACTTATTTTTCTTAAAACATAGAAAAGTAACTGAAGAAGTAAAACAAACAATTCTCTCTTCCAGTTACGACCTTTGTACTCGGTTGCTGCTTGATATAGGTTGCTAAAAACATTGCACATGGAGGATATAAAACAAAATATTTTTAAATGTTTTATATATACATTTCAATAACTAAAAAATCATAAATTACTACATTAATACCACAGAATTCCACTATACTTTATCAAGCTTAGTAACTAAGATGTATTTTACTCTTAAAAAATATGAAATTTTGAGCAGACTAAAGATACAACCTACCTCATTCAAATCTTGTTTCAAAAAAAAAAAGAAAAGAAATGGCACTAGCCACATTAGAAAGGCTGAGAAGACCACTAGGGGACATTCTGAGCTTTCAATTGGTTATTCATGTCATAAATAGAAGTAAGTGCATATAAGGGAGCATTTCCAAAAGTGGAAAGAGGTGGGCGGGTGCCACTGTGTTTTATTTATTACATGATCAATATCTTAGCAAATAGAAAAGACAAGATCTTCTTATTTTATATTCTAGCTTGTCAATATCTGTAATTTGAGTTTCTAATTCGTACAAAACTATAGACTTAGTATTTTGACTTCACAAACATCTAATTTGAACCAGTGCTGCATTCAACATACCACATAACACACAGAAATCGATGTTTACCTGTGTTTTTAATATCTACATTTAAATTAAGAAATTGAGTAATGTATAGTACTAAAATTTAAATTATAATCTACAGATTGATACCAAACTTATTGACATATATTCATGAAATAGTAGTTCAATAAAATTTTGAATGCAAGTCAACAAACGGGATGACATGGCCTTTCACCCGTGACCTGTCTCGAAAGGGTTATTATGTTTTGACTTTTAATACACAGAAGAAAAAATTTGACTGTCATAAAGTGAAATATTCTTGAAAATTAAGTTTCTTTTAGTTCAAATATTTACAAGTATAGAAAAAACTTTTCAAGAAAAGGAAGTAAATGTAGGGATAGCAAATATCAATTTTTCAAAAACAAAACTAATAGTAGGGATGGCATTTGCATCATCCTTACATAATAACAGAAACACACACTGTAGTAGAATATTAACAGACAAATATAGGATACATTAAACCCACTTGTGATTGGTTATATATATATATATTATTATATGTTAATTCGTGCCATCCCTACTATCTTGTTTGCATTGTTTTTGAAGAATTGATTCTAGCCATCCTTACATTTACTTCCTTTTTTGAAAAGTTTTTTCATTACTTGTTTTTTAATGCAGTGTTTCAATAGACATAGGAATGTTGTATTTATAACCAAGTTCTAAATACAATGAGGTTTCAACTGTAATACTTATTGTTTATCTATTATTGGTTTGTAACTCCTGTTTCACCCTGTACTTAAACTTTTTAACAAAATACCAAATTTCTGTACGAAAGCTAACTTCAAGGGGTAATGATAACATTGTTTACATTAGAATTATGATTTCTTTCAAAAATTACTTCCAGTTACTAATAATAATTAAAAAAGTGGATACTCCATTTGAAACTTTGTCATCTCAGGGAATTTAGTTCACACCACTGTTTTGGTTTTTGAGTTATAATGTAATAAAAAAGTAGAACAAGAAATTCAAACATTTTGCTATGATATTTACAGACAGTCTCAGAACTTGTGACTCAGTCATTACATAGATATTGCTATAAAAGGAAACACTGTATAGTATCGTAAAGTTCAGATGACCTATTGAGGAGATATTTAAAATACCATTTCGATTAACAATAATCCGAGCCATCCCTACGTAGGCAATGTTACTACCTGTCTAATTAAAGCAATATTTCTGACGTGTGTACATGTACAAAAATGTATAAAATTTTCAGCTGGTAACCACAAACATCAGTATACTCATATTTTTGATATCTATAAAACAAATGCACATGTTAACAAAATTATCCAGATCACATTCTATTATTTTCACATGTGCTTTGGAACTGTGGACACCAAATTCATCTATATATAAAAAGTATTAACATTTCTAAATTAACATGATTATATATTTACCAGTCAGTCATGTTACTCAGAATAATTTTTGATTTATGTTTGTGCAAGAGGTTGTTAGATTATAATTACAAATAATTAAGTTGTAAATTCTAATTATATATACTGTGCACTTCATACACGGAAACAGACGTGCTGATAAAACATTTATAACTGCATTATTCCTACACAGTATCCATGTACAAATGTACTGAGAGAGATTATAGTAAGTGGCACAGACACAAATGTCACTGTATGCAAGTAAGTTGACAACCAGATTTATAAGCATAACGAAAATTATTCTATTTACAGAAAATACTAAATTTTTTAACAAAACATCGATCGGTCTTCTTCATAAGACAAATCAATATTTTGTTGAAATACTGAAACATATAGAATGTTCTCTATATAATTTTCATCATGCTTATAAATCATTGTTTGTTAATTTACCATTGTATAGACATAATGTGCTTCCATACACTAATACGCTGACAGTAATATTGCATAATAGTATCACACCATTCAAAGATCAAGTTTTTACTGTGTTCTTAACTACATTGAATAAAAACTGCTATTAAGTAAAACTTTTATTCAAAATAATCACGTTGTATGTATTCTGGTAAGGGCCTTGGATTTAAACACAATGACAAACATTAAAACACTGCCTGTACTCTACCACACTAGCACTACACAATCTCCATAACAATTACTACCTTAATACCAAGACCATATTTTCAAAACACTACCAAAACTATTTACCCTATTCTGTCAAGGTTCATATGCTTATCTTTACCTTCTGTCTTTTCTCTTTCCTGTCCTTAGAACCTTGTGTTTTGCTTGACAAACACAGGGCTGCCAACTTTTAGGGGTCTATTTGAGCATGACTTTTATAAAAGTAAACTTCTGTGATGTAGTTAAGTGCTGCCTTCTAGAAGGGTCTAGGGGCATACTGCACCATGAAAATTATTATTATTCAATGAAGTAGAACAGTGCAAACCAGTGCATTTTCTAGATCACTAAGATGATCATTTTTTTAAAATATAGATCCAGTCAGCCAATCAAACACAATGCATTATACAAAGCTGATAATTTGACGAAACATGAGAAAGTTTTTATTACTGCATGGGAGGTCTCACATTCAGTGGGTGAGTGTCAGTAACACTGCAAACATTTAAGTTTTCCTAGTACATTACTCAGATATGTGATACATTAAATTATTATTTAACAAGGATTTATTTAGTTATTTACTGATGCAAATTCAACTGTTTTTTACATAAGTTCATGGATAACAGATAGTGGTGTATTCTTAGAAACCTTTAAATGTGACATGTTATTAGTTATTGTCATTAAAACATTCTATATTTCAGTACATTTTTAATTTGATTTTCTTCCAAAACTTGTTTTCTACATATTCCTGATATTATAGAAGACAAACCTGTATAAAAAAGAATGTGAATAGCAATCACTGTCACTGTTGATATTTTACCTGTCTCTTGGAGATGTTGTCTGTCGGTGACCACCACCCAAGATGTACTACGTACCATGATGTTGTTTGTTACAGGCAATGCTTAGTTATGTATATTTTGTTTTATAAAGAAGTAAATGAAAGTTACTGAAAAATTATTATTTTATATAATTAGTTATCTTTGACGATTAATTGAATTAATGTAAGTTATGAAACAAAAAGAAAAACTCACCAACATTATGTGGATATCTCTGAGCTGCCAAGATTTACCAAGTTATTAAATAGTTCATTTTTGCATCTTTGAAATATTTCCTAATACACAAACATGCCAATCATATATATATATATATATATACAGGTTATTAGTTGTTTCTTCTATGACTACTGACATGGGTATGGTTTCATTAATGAAATAGCCTATCTCTAAGTAGTAATTTGTTAAGGGCTCCTACACAGTGGTAGAATGATCCTCCATGACCTAGTTTTAGGAAGACGAAAGAAAGCCATTTCCAAAGTCCTTATACTCTGTTTAGGCCTAACTACTGTTTATGTAGTCTATTGAGGCTGCCTTCATATTCCATGATAATTAATGGTAGACAAGAAAAAAATACATATATATATATAAATATACTTATGAATCAAATGTGCTAGAATTAATCAGTTATTTTTTGGTGCAAATTATTTTTCCCCCCATTCATGTCCTAGAAGCATCACTGAATTATATGAAATTCATTGACTTTTTTCAAATTTTTCCTGTAAAATGAAATTCCCTGATAATTTCAGGGTGGGAGCACAAAATATAATATATACATATATTTAGCATAATTTTTCTTCTTTTGAAGTGTGCTGACTAAAATTAGCACTATCTGTGAAAGCATTTATTACTAGGGAGAATAATCAAACACAATTTACTGGCCACATAAAGCATGCTTCATAATTATAATTACATACAAGATAAACAGCACTGTAGTTTCCAAAGCCTTTTGTTAGGAAATACAGTTGGAACTGCATCATCACGTGGTTACGTATTTTCCTTTGTCGCTACTAACAAAGACTGATGACTATTACTACCCAGCTAGTCACTAGAATAACCATCTAACAGATACTCTGTACAAACTATTACAAATAAGTTGTGAGGAATTCACACAAAAATATTTCCCCACCCCTTTTTTTTTCAAATGTTACCTCACATTAATGTATGCTTCCATAACATGTACAAGCTTACCCTCATCCAATAGTTCATGTATTTTCTCTACAGATTGTAAGAAACAAATAAAATAAAAACATAATCATGTCTAACCCAATAAGCCTAAAGTAAGGAGAAAACTTTAGAGTAAATGACTGTAGTACTTACCAGGTGATGATGAATATGTGGTAAATGACGATCCAATATCTTGTCAAACACTTTGGCATGGCTTTGCACTCTGAAAATGTATCAATTGGTTGTTTGAATGTTCAAACTAATGGAAAACTGTCATTTTGATTGTTTAGTTTCAATGTTTGATAAATACAAAGTGCTTGATGGCGACTAATAGCACGTTAATTAGGCACAAAAGTACATGATCACAGATATAATGTTTTAAGTTTTCATTCAAATGGCTACGTGACATTTACATCCAGAACTATAATTAGTAATTTCAATCTAACCACACAAGTCATTTTATAAAAATAGTTATTATACATGGAAAGCCTCATTTTACTTGATACAAGAACAACAAAAAAATGTTTTTCTTCTATTTACACTATAGTTTCACAATGCTAATTACATGAATATACATATAATTTATCTTACTTTTCAAGCATTTTGTCAAAATATCCAAACAAGTATTTTCTTCTCTCTAATAAAGACACTAAGGCCCAGAAAGCCTCTTTCTCTTCTAACTGCATTAAAAACATAGCTGCCAAGTATGACATTCCTGAAATAAAACTGTATTTTATTTTCTCAGTACTAAAAATAATATTTCCGCACATTTGTAAATATAAACTGCCTGCACTTTTGTACACTTTTAAATCAGAGGTTATTTTCCAAAAGTACATGGGATATCTGACTAAGACCTCTTAGACGGAGAGATCACATAACTAACATAGTCTCTACATTATATAAACAACTTTCTTTATCCTAACCTTACATGGTCTAACACAAGTCTAAGCATTTATCAAATCATAGAGATTTAAGGCTGCATATACCTATTACATAGTGCTATCTAGATTTTGGCCTTTTTATCAGAAAAAATAACTTTATACTATGCTTTTTGTATGAAAATATATTGAAATAGATATAACGATATATACTGGCACATGTTGTGTAAACTGTGGCTAATTTGCATATTAGAAAAATAAATAAATAGAAAAGAAATGTCTTATGTTCCTTCTACAAACATGATTGAATGCTCCTAAAAATGGGTCCAGACTTTCATGGGATGTGAAAAATTAGTCTTAACTAAGGAAAATACAAGAGTTAAGGATTCAAAACAATTAATTGTGACATATTTTGACATTTAAAGATTATATGCCACCTTAAAACTATGTCATCTTTAACTTTCCTCAAATTCTGTGATAATTTTTCTTAACTTGTCTTTCTGTTTTTAAGAACTGTCCCCTTTGATTTGTTCTCTTCATAAACCCTCCTTTTACATTATAGTTATTTATAATAATAAAAGAGTCTGTATGTGTGTGTGTGTGTGTGTATGTATGACTACCATAGGAAAGAACCAGGAGACCTGAAACTTTGCACACATACTAAGGGGATTCTGAGGATGAGCACTTGGGTATTACTTTTTAGAAAAAAATATTTGGCCAATTTTTTGCCCTATAGCCTTTAAGCAACAGTATCATATATTTTTCTAATTCTCACTTACTGAATGAACAATATGTAGAGGTTTTCTGTCAAATAATCTTTTCAACACAAACATGGGAAGAGAAATACAAATCTGAGAATTTAAAAAAATTGAACTGAACTAAGTTTGGGAAACAGCAACAAACAACGGGAAGAAAAATATGAATCAAATAATCCTGGGGAATTTAGAAAATGAAAAGAATTCAAATAAAAACACAGGAAGAAAATAAAATTAATCTGAGAAGCTAAATTAAGATTATTTGCTTTTAAAAAAGTGTTGAATTGAATTAAGTTTTGGAAATGGCAACAGATAAATCAATTAAATAATTGGCACATTGGGATAGCTATAGAAGTAATTAAGATAATGGAGACACTTGACTGGTACATTGAGACCTCTATGAATCATGAGGGGACCTTAGAATCCCACAGTGGAGAGTGGGTACTTTACACTAGTATTTCAATAAAGTAATAAGAGGTTGGAATTTTATATTCTACCCAGCTCATAATCAGGAAAGTATCTATGAGAGTAAATGTTTTGAAGATTATTAGTAAACATTACAAGGATTTCATACACAAAATTATGTTTTAAGATTTTTTTTTATCCAAGATTTGCTCATGAATTTTTTCTTTCAGAATGTTGACTATCCAACATACAAAATAATTTTGATTTTTAGGTTAAAAAGTTTCATTTGCATAATCTCTATATCCTGCTAGATAATCAAACGATTTTTTAAACAAAACTTTATATTTAATCTGTTATTTTATAAATATTAATACTATATGGTGTTGATTGATTTGACCGACCTCGTAACCATCATAAAAGTTAGGAAATAAATCTAAATTACTATTTATGTTTCAGAATAACTACAAATTGTAACAGTATAAATCTATTTATATTTACTAATTGACCTTTGAACCGTGTCCGACTAAAAATACTCTGACAGAAGTTGAAAATTACACGGCGCACGTGCATTGACATGACCCTATGGAACAGCGTAATGCAGAAGCTTCTGTCACATATAACCCACAAAGGTTTTATTATTTTTCTTTCATTATCTTACCCAACAATTTTCCATTTTTTATGATTTTAGTTAGTTTTAATAATAATAAATAGTTTTAATAATTAACAGTTAAAACAAATGAAAAATAAAAACCTCTTATTAAATATCAATCACTTTTACTTTAAGTAAAACTTTATATTTTATTTGTTATTTTTCTCCAGGTTGTAAGTAAGTAATCAAAGTATAACGAAAATAAAGGTTACAAAATAAAATGCATAATATTGTTAGTAGTGATTACAACATTTCAAAGTACTTATGGTCAGAGTTTACATTCTCACCATTTCACAATTATTTTCTGTAGTTATTTTATTGCCAGTAGATGAGTTATAATTAGAAGAAACAAAATGAATAGTACTCTGTTCTTTTCAGTACGGACAGTAAAGTTCCAAGTAAATCTCCTGAGAGTTTCTTTTAATCTTTTTACACCTATTTCCAATTGTAATTCTACTGTTAGCGGCTGAAATAGAAACCTGCCAAATATAAAGCAATGACTCACCGTTCCTGTTTAGGTGTTACCGTACTTTGACATTGTCAATATCAAATACGTTCATGCAGCACAATTACCAGAATTTCCCTGCTTTGAAAACACAGTGTGTCAGAATATATCAACTTGTTGACAGTATAATGGTTACAACGACAATTGTCTAAAGTATTATAAAATGTTTATGACTTTGTAGAAAGTCTGGGCCGATCCAGTAAGTCAAAAAGTAGAAGTATCCTACAAAAACTATTTGGATCGCTGCTCTGAGAACACAGTGGGATAGAAATACTGAAATGTCAGTTATTTTTCTTCAAACATAAAACAGTAAATAAAAAATAATAGGAAAACAATGATCTCTACTACTTACGATACTACAAGGTCCTTGTTTGCACTCGTGAGCCACACTTGCTAAGCCTCATCCAAATTCACGTGTGGAGACGGAAAAATAATAATTTTTTTATATAAGTATTTTGGAATACAAAAAAATTATAAATTACTATACTGGTACCTGAAAAATCCACTGTAATTTATCAGGCTTCCTAACTAAATTGTATTTGGGTCTAAAAAAATATAATTTCTATTCATAAAAATGCCTTGATAGCAATACTTTAAACTTTCCAATGATATAAGAGCATTTCTCTCGTAAATAACTTAGGAAGAGTAACAGAATTATGTAGAATAAATATATAGCTTTTGAAAGATTATACAGTTATTGGTATATAAAAGTAGGCATAAATAAATAAGTCTTCTCAAATGATGAAGTGGTGAGCAGAGCCAATACGGTGGATTTGCTAAACATCATGATATCTCAGCAAATAGAAATGATAGGAGGTTCTTATTTTATATTCTAGCTTGCCAATATCGAACATTTAAGTTTCTAATTTGTACAAAACTATAGTCATTGTAATTTGGGCATCATAAAATGTAATCTGACCAAACCCAGAAGGTGACGTACCATGTGACACACAAAAATCGATATTTAGCCTTTTTTGAACATTTAGTTTCAAATTAAGAAACTAATTAATGTCTAACACTAAAATTTGAATTATAATATACAATTTGATCCGAAACTTATTGTCATACATTTTTAAAATAATAACTATATACTGCATGCTGTTTTGGTTTGCATTCTATTAAAAAAAAATCATTTATAATATCATGAAAAATCAAATATGAGTACCTGTTTCAATTATATATATGTTAAAAATTCTTTACAATATTATAATATGAAACAGACATCACAAGTTAACATTTTTCTTACACTGAAAATGTACCCTGCTTCCTCTGCCATTCCTTTTATGACTGGCATGTATTGACTGGTGTACTGATCACAAAACTTTCTTAGAGGGCAGAAGACGATCGATATAGTTTTGTGTGTGAGAGAGATAAGACCATATCAGAATATACATTTAAACTAAACATACGAGTTGCAGGTGTTAAAGAAAAAGAAGAAAAAAAAGAGTAACTTAACATGAAACTGGTAAAAATAAAAACTAAATAACAGCGTGAATCACTAAAAAACAATACATTTGTATATCTTTTCTAGTACATATGTTTGTGAAAGAATCTTAAAGTATCTAAAAACAATCAGAGTCCCTTGCGTTATTTTCTTATTGGTCAATTTTTTTTAGTTGTTGTTTTTTTATAAATACTTATGATATTATCTAAGAAAGATGCATATCATAACAAATGTGATCACATAAACTGACAAGAGTTTTTTTAATCACAGATTATTCCACATCTTAGCTTCACATTTTCCAAGTGGTCTTATTAGAATGAAGCCTAAATAAGTATACTGTTAAAAAAATTCTCATTTCTAACAAAATAATATATCTTAAATAAATAAACACCAACAATTGAACCGATTCCATATCGTAGAAGGAATGTTAACTATAGTTTTTAATTTACTAATTGCATAGACACAAAACGTGGCTAGCTTTTAGTAAAACATACAAATTTGTTGTACACAAAAGTCAAATGTGTTAAAGTATTTGTACTCAAGATACCCCTGTGAACTGATGACAGAAAGTAAGGTGATGTTCATGTGAAGAACAAGAATACTTTTGTCTAATGTACAGTTTGAATATTGTACTTGCATAACCTCTAGAGCCTCTGAAATTCATATTTACAGTTTTTTTTCAGTATCCATTTATAACGTATCTGGTATTTACTTTCCTCTACCACAAACTGTTGCCGTATCAGCAATGTGAGGTAAAATGAATAGTTGATAACTCTGACATCAAAACATAATACTATGTTGAAATGCACTCTGTAAAAGGTTGTGGTATGCACATTTTGACCCCGCTTGTGTACATAGGGTTAAGCTCATAGCTTTTAAATAAATGCATTTAATTGTTGAAGCTTAAGCAATTTCAGTAGAACTCTTCAAATACACAATGTCTTTGAGGTACTTATTTCTTTACATTCAAGATAAATCATTCTTGCCACTCTAGCATATTTCAAGTATTCTGATCAGTAAGTATCAAAAACAGCAAGTGGTAATCAATTATAACCTTGAAAGTGGGGACAGATGTTTGTCAATCAATGAGAGCTCTTTACTTTCAAACTGACCTTTTATAACAAATTTTTATGGCCATTTAAGAAAACTGAAAATCAGTAGAAGAAGAGACCTGTTTTAAATTGCTTTCCAAAAATTTCAATTCAAACTTTTATTTAATTTAGTTTTTCCCATGAATTAGAAGACCCTTAAAGAGTACAATTCAATGTTTTTAAAAAGTATCTTTTTCTGAAAATAATTATAAAATGTGTGTTTTAGGTTAAAAAACAACAACAACATACTGTAACCATATACTTTACTTCTGTTTCCAAAACAGACATAAGATAGGAATTAGTATGTATAATCCATGGTCAAAACTTTCAACACCACACAAGTACCTGTGCACTAAATAAATCACAAATTAAACATGGTTTGACTTTAAAATCTCAAATTCTGTGAAAAACCAAGAAGCAGTATATAATTTTTATAATTATTGACAATATAAAGTCATACAAATATAGTATTTTAAAACATAGTAATACCACTGTACCTTGACAATAATTGTTCTCAGGGTTATACACTGTATAAACTGCAAGAAGTCTAAAGAGGGCTGCTCGACCCTCTATTCCCTTGTCACTTTCTACAGAGAACATACAATGAGTGGGGTATGTCCTTCCTAGAATACCAAAAATAAGATACTTCACTAAATAACAAGTAGCACAGCACAAAAAATCAAATATACAAATTTACAAAATTCTCTTGATTAGATTTGCTAAAATCTTTATTAAATTGGAGCTATAGACCTAAAAAATGAACAAAAGTTCAATGAAGGTATAACATTTTCAGATATTCAATATATCAAAGATTTAAGCATATTTTCTTACTTGCATACTATAAGTTTAATAACAAATTTTATTGATTTTCTTGTTATTGCATATTTTAAGATTAATACTTAAAAAATTCAAAATATTACCTTTAAACATAATTATCAGTCAAAGCAACATGGCATTATTATTGAAATTATTTTTTAATGGTTATTTTTGTTTTTAAACCCTCAAGCTAATTTCATTCTCTAAAAATTCTTAAAGTTTTACACCTTATCAGCAAACAGGTACTTTAATAAATAAGTGTAACAGATATTTTATTTTAAAACCCATTGTCTTTACCAACATCCAATAAAATCTGCCTTAAGAATTTCAGGTTAAAATGTAAATGTCTGATGTTTTCTTGGTTTTCCTCAAGCTCAGATAACACTCTTTCAGATCTACTAGTGTTGAACTCACTCACGCCTAAAGACACAAGTTCTTCTCTCAGCAATGACACGTGTTCCTGAAAAATAATTATATACTCATAAAATTTGGCAACTGTTCCCATAAAACAGAAACATAATTTGTAAGGCTCTTCCAAAACAAGAAAACAAACACAAATATATATCAGAATTTCAATATTAGTTATATCACATATCATATTCAGTATCAATGAACAAAAACAATTTACAATGACTGTCTATTTTGTGGATTGTATCATTGGCATAAAAATACTGAAAATCAAATATACCTAAGAAATTCTAGCTGGTTACAAATGTTGATTTTAAGTGGTTCTCTCATGAAATGCATAGCCTAAACTGTGTATAACATGTAATAATGACAAATTACTTTTGACATACACAACATGTTACTTGAACGACAAACTTAAAAAAAAAACAATACACACAAAAAAAACAAAAAACTTTTCTCTGCTAATTTGGCATAGTTTTGTTCTAAGTATTTATACTATTGTTACGCATGCTGCTACAGTCATGACTGGGATAATGAAGGTTTTAAAAAAATTGTAAAACTTCTTCCACAAAGGAATTCTTGAAAAACAGTACATATAAAATCTATTTGCAAGAATAGTTAGAATTAAAACACTGGCATACAATGAAACTGGCCTTATTTATGCATGTACATGAATATTAAACTAAAATTACATATATCAAATACTTATCTTTCAGTAAAAATGCTATTTATTTTTTAAACTGTTTTATTATCTGTGATGAATCAAAGTATTCTTGAGTGTATTTCAAATTTTGTTATACTTCATAACTGGATAATTTGCCTGAAAGATCTTACACACTGATGACTTTCTGTAATGGTATCAATACTAGGAAGCAACAGATATATGTCTGCAGAAGGTTGAGTATCATATGTTACAACAATTTTAGTCTCACATCTCATTACAGTCCATGTTGCCACATCCAGCCGTGCTCTATCTGATAACCGAGCATCTCAACTGTAATTGAACTCACCTTCTACACATTATATAATAACTTACTGTATTATAATTTACCTCATAAGAGAAATTTGTATAGGTTAGCACTGTATCTAAGTCCAAGAGTTTCTTCCATAATTCAGGCCTTGTTTTGAGCGGAACACCATTTTTGATCAATTCTTTCAACTGCAAAAAAAAAATCTTAACAATGAGTACATTATAGAACACTACTTTTGGTTACTTCAACCCTCTCAAACAAGTATTGCTTGTACACTTTCTTGAAATGTATATAAAGCCACATGCCTAAATAGATGTCAGTGCTTGCCCACTCTACTAGTCACTTCACCAGAAACTGAAAATAAAAAGTAAACCCCACAACCCTCTCCATATTGATTGTGTAAAAATACAGCTTAATATATCTTTGCCAAAAGTCAAATAAACAACTTCAATGCACTGTCAATAACATGATTCCAATTTTTGTGGTTTATAGTGCCTAACCAAACCCCTGCATAAAGTATTAAAATATTTCCATATGAATGTGCCACTCATATTCTCCAAGCACTGAACAAAAAAACCAAAATATAGGCTGACTTGCTCGATGTCAAAGCACACATAAAGCTCACCATATGCAAATGTATAAATACTGGATCAGTCTAAATAAAATGAGTAATAAAATAAAACAGCATTGTTGTTCAATCAATACACTTATACAGAACATTTTCTTGTACTGTTTGGGTCATCACTATAGAAACTTTACCAAGTTGGAATAGATTTTTGTGCTCCTTTGAACCAACTTAAATTATACTGGAGCCTTAGTAAAAAAATACAAACAACTTTATAATCTTAAAAAGACCAACAAAAGAGCCAGAACCTGTACGAGAAGAGAAAACAATTAACAGACAAGCTAGCAAGGCTATACGACTAGTGAGTTTAGGTCAGTTACTCCAACACTTTGTGTGTTGATAAGTTAGAGTGCTCCAGGAAACAAAATCACTCTAAAAGTTAGCTTTATATCACCACACTTTGTTCATAACTTATTTGACATCTTAGTAACAAACTTTACAGATGGTAACATATAAAAACAAAATCAACAATGTACTTAGTAGAAGCTAGTATATCATTTCTAACAAAATTAAAAAATACTGAAAACAAATTTTGTAAAACTTATAATAAGTAAAAACTTGGAACATGCTACAAACTGGAATCTTGAACAAAAATGTATTAAATTAGTAGTGTTCTATGACTATTACAATAACTTTTGACTAACAGGACAAGTTATCATTATCTTCAGATCTGATTACATATAAGATAATTATATCTTTACTGTAAAGATACGTTTAACTAGGTTGTGTGTAGGTATATCACTGTGAATTACTTAAAGTGCATGTTTATCTTTAATTAGTTGCCTATAGCTAATTGTCCTTGGTGTGTGAAGTAGTTGCTACATATCACAAGGATGTGAAGTATCCATTGAAACGAACTAGAAAGAAGGAGATCTGGTAGTACATTAGTATCAAAACACTGGTATGGTTTTGGGTTCAAGCCCTAGACAGTGAACTCCCTCAAAGGTTTGTTTCTCTAATGAATATGATACTGAACACTCCATGGCATTGTGTTAAAGCCCTACAAAGTGCAAGTTTATTACTCATCTGAAATGTGAATGCAAACAAAACATTCTACAAAGTTTCTAATGTGCTAAGGAGATTAAAATTATAATTAGATATCAAAGTTGTACAGTGTGGGCCATTAGAGGATTTGTTATGGTCCACCCTGTACACTGTGATCATGATAATGTTCTTGAAATTAAATGTACATATGTGAGATACAAACAAACACTTATAGCTACAGAGTGGAAAAATTAATCAAGCCATTCAACTGGATTAACACATTCAGTGAGGACTGGTTGAGAAAACGGAACATCCCCTGAAGTTATTGATCGTGTAATGAACTAGATAGAAAATTGTATGCTTTGTACTTGAGGCCCTGATGCCTCACTTGCTGGAACACTGGCCTCATGGTATAAGTATGAGCCAATTGTCCCGAGCTGAAAACACGATTAGAATAGATTTCTTAGCATCCTGGTTTGTCAATATACCTCAATAAACTCTAAAAACTAAATCTCAAATAAATTATGAGTATAAAATTTCTACATGAATATTGTGTACAACAAAAAATAATGATAAAGTATTAGAGAGAAAACAAATTAAATAAATATTACAATGAATTAAAAAATTTTGCAGATGAAAAGACTAGAATAATGATTAGTGAAACAAAAAGACCAGTTAAAATACATGAGGAACACTCTGGAATACCAACTATTCATCTATTGTATTATATATGTACAAGAAAAAACCAATTACTACAGTGGAAAAGGATGCGTTACTATGCTAATACCAGCACATGATGAAAACTAATTAAATGGAAGTTTTCTATTTGTCTAAAAAAGTCACAACCAAACAAATGAAAACTCTAAAACTGTCACAATTACTAAATATCAAATACAATTTTTAAATCATTCTAAATTAAAATGCTCTAGTCAGCAAGATTTTACTGACTCAGGATCCTAAGGTTCCAGATTTTAATATTACAATCATAAATCTGTAGTAGGATTTCACATGCTGAATGACACCTACCTTTTCTCTTTTAACACACTGCCTATAGCTGTCCCACTTAGAGAACACTCTCTGCCACTGGTGGTCATTTTCTGGACCTTTTTCATCATTTGAATAAAGGTGACACCTGTCATCAAAATCGCTAGACAAACAGTCCTGCATGACAATCATGTCATTCTCACTGAATATGCCATTAGTCCTGCTTTCACTTGGAAGAGATGGCGACTTCAAAATCTCGAAACCATACTTATCCCAGCACTCAGACATGATCAACATAAAACTGATGGAAATGTTAAGTCACCTGCAAGACAAAATATGACAGTGCAAAACATGGGTATCATTGAAAAGACATAAATATAATACCTTATATGTTTGCAAGAACCAGGATCTGTCATTTATATCATGTTAACAAAACAAATTTTTAAAAGACAATATATTTTATAGGTTGAAGCCTTGATTGTTTCATCCAAATCTGCCTCATATTTTTAAACTTGAATTGTTCACATTTTGGAAACAAATTCACGATGCACAATATTTTCTACCAATAAGATCATATTATTGTGGTTATTTCTAAAACCATATTACAACTTAAAGCCTTATTTTTTACAGGAAATTATGCCACTAACAGTAACTTTCATTCAATATTATCATTACTGACTAATTATTTTTAATACTGACCATACCAATTTACTTAATACTAGTCACTACAATGGCACTGAAAACAAACTTAAGCTTAACTTTTAATCAGTAATAAATAACATTAGTAATCAATTCCTAACTTAGAATAAGAGTATTAAATTTCTCAAGCATTCTACTACAAAAGCTAACCTTGAGGTCATGAGACCATATTTATCATCAGTGAATTAGGATAATGAGTTAAAAGTGATTCGGGACTGAATTTCATCCTGTTTTTAAATAAATTGCTTCCAACTGATGGTAGACATATTCCTAAAAAGAGGAAAAGATCAATGGGATTACTAAGCATGTAGCAAAGAAAATCAGGGATAAGAACCACAGACTTAAGTTTAAACAAACAGATACGATGGAAGACTTACAGAATGGTAGGAAAGCTAGAGATTTGATTAACAACAGAAATCAGGGAATAAAAAAAAAGAGCTTATGACAAACAGCTAGCCATCAGTATTAAAACTAATAGTAAGATGTTTCTTTTTTAAGTATGTCAAGCAGAATGTTAAATTGGAGAGTGAGGTTTTGTTTTGTTTTTTAATATAAGGCATGGTATAAGCAATATTTCAGACCTTAGCATTCTTTGGGAAATACTTGAATTAGCCTTAATCATGTTGATATTAATCCTCTGGTGGCAAGTTTTTCTTCTAGCTCACATTCTTTCACAATTTACAATGTAGAGTCAGAGAGGTGGTTTTCTTATCTTAACATCAAAAGGTTCTAACATTCTATGTTGAAATTCCTCCCATGAATGGAGGATAATGCAGAAGAAACTGGAGAGAGGAACGACATCACATTCACTTAGACAGTGGTTGGTAATACTACTGGTATTATAGGTTGTAGCATTATAGTATTATCTTAATGAAATATATCCCTGGTTGCACCTTCAATGTATGAACTGACATACCACTATTAAGGTATTAAATGGATGTCATTTGTCTTTAAGGTTGGAGTGTCTTTTTAACTTAGACTGTTTTAAACAAACCTGTGGATATGGCTGTTTGATAATTTTCTTCTTAATTGTGTATGAAATAGTGCCTAAGTAGGGTATGACTAAAGTAAGTTATCTACAGAACATCTCAAGAGATGGGTTACTTAGTTTCAGCTTTTGTGTGAATCATTCTATTTAGGAATGATAACAGAAAATAATTTCTTATAAGCATTTAATTTTCTCAACTTCTGCTTCAAAACAGTTTTGATTTTCTAAAATTTTAAATTCTCTGTATAGCAGGATTTTAATCCATTTTCTTTAGACTGACGGAATGAAACTTTCATAATGTGAATAACATCCAGTGAAAGTGGGTTTATGATACACTATGATAAACTGGTTATTTAATTAACAGATGAACATATAAGAACAAGAGTTTGTCATTCTTCTGATTTTAAACAGTAAATTATATATTAGGATGTTTACCATTTAAAACTGAAGAAAGTAGTTTACTGACTAAACATTGATAAACACCATAAAAGTGTCATCAATATACCTCATGTAATACACATGCTTATAACATTCAGGATAGGATTATAACCTAACGTTTTATTTTATAGAAGCACAGGAAAATGTTTAGCAGGGTCAGGATCAAAACTGGAGCCCTTAGTCACTCCATCAATCTGTTCATACTTTTATCATTAAACATAAAATCAGATTGTTTTGTTGCAAAACAAAATCATTTTAAAAACATCTTTAGTTATACCTTGTACAATTACATGCTCAATAAACACTAGGTAGATCAATGGTTTCTTCCAGAGGTATACTTGTAAACAATGACTCAATGTCATAACTAGCATAGTGAATAGTATCAATAAATTGCACCAGTTTTACATTATTGGCAAATTCAAAAGTATCCTTAATAGAATGCTTACTCTGTATAAACTCTCACTAAACAGGGTCCAAAATCTTGCTAAGGGTTGATTATAGGTGTCTACACTAGAAACAATTAGTCTAAATGAGCATCATTGCTTATGAATCTTAGGAAGTCAATATAAAATCTATACTATGAGCCAATGGGTCTGATTTTTTGGTACATATCTTCTGTTATCACACTACTGGTTACTGTGAGATCCCTCTTAGTTTCTATAAGCTTATCTGTATTACTTAGAATAGCTTTCATTTTGTTAATGTAATCCACTTTATCTATATGGGGTATAATAATTAACAAGATCTCAGAATTAAAAAAAATTCAAAGCCTGGGTTTTATCCTTTCTCAAATTACAATTCTTTTTTTCTAGATCTAAAATCTTGTAACATCCTGAGGACACAACCAGTGACTTGAGTTTTAACCTGTTTAAAGGTGGTGGGTAAAAAGACTTGCTTATTAACAAAATATAAAATACAAAGGCCAGTCGATGTTTTCCCTAGATTTTTAAAGACTGGCCTGGAACTTACAGACCAAATTGTCTTGCTTCCATAGTGGGGAAAAAATTCTAGAATCTAATAAAAGAAGTTTGCAAAATCATTTAGAAAAATATTACATCATAAAAGAAAACATCACCAATTAACTTAATGGTAATCTTGTCTTACTAATCTGTTAATTTTTTCTGAGGATATTGTTACTTATATGGATGATAGAAAGGGTTGGACTTGGTGTACTTAAGACTTTCAGAAAACATTTGGGAAAGTATTAACTAAGAAAATCACATCAGTGAGTATTGAATTGTTGTGTGACTGGGCAAAAAAAGTTGTTACAAATGAAGTCCAATCAAAATGAATCTTTGTTACTAGTAGAATTCCTTTGGGATCAGTGCTAGGGCGTTTGCTTTTTTTCTGATTTTTGGAATTCCTAAATATAATGAGGATGTTGTAGTACAGAAATAATTTGAATCAACTGGACAACTAGTTGACAAATATCCAAACCTATGGTAAGAGCATGGTAATGCATTTAGATTAGTATGGAATACAAGTTTAATATAGATGGGAAATTATTGAATACCATGGCTAAAAGAAAAATATCTTAGATCTTTGCACAGTTTTATTTTTAACATGGTACATGACATATAGAATGAGGTGCTATCAGCAGATGTGAAAGCTAACACTTACTGGAATTTAAAAGAGGGAAATAGAACAATCTTGAAGGGCCAAATGGTTCCTTGCTCTCTGTTGTCTATACAAGTCATTCAAGCCATCAATGTAGTACTCTGTTCTTAATAGTAAAGCTTACAGAATTTTAGGGTTTATTTATAGACATACTGATTACATGACAAAAGAGGTAATTATATCTATTACTTGTAATACTATGTATTAATTTGGTCTCCTTATCTAAGAAAGGATATTAATTTATTGGAAATGGTCAGAAGAAGGCTACTAGGAGGATTTCAGGGATGGAAGGATTACCTTACGGACAGGTTAAGATCTCTTAAATAAATTTCACTAGTAAAAGGAAGGTAGGATGCAAAATTTAGTTTACATGATTATTAAGGATACAATAGGACAAAGACCTCTTACTTCTTTATGCTGTATTCT